ATCAAATGTTAATAATCACATTTGATTTTTATTTTTTGCAAAACAGAAGCAGTCTCAGATGCTTCTGGGAACTCATTAGAAATAAATGGAGCAAACACACTACAGGAATCCAAATACAAATCTATTTTTAAGGAAATCTTGAGCTTTTGCAGCAGAAGTGTTTGAACATCCATCCTATTAATTGTAGGAACTACTTAAGATATTCAGTGTCAGCAATCAAGGCCAAGTGTAGAGAATAACTATAGTAGTTCTACTTTCAAAATTCTTGAAAACCATTTAAGGATGTCAGTAGGAGGTAAATTAAAGCCATATGCATTAAGAAGCTAATAATTTGAAAAATGTACAGGAGCAATGAACCTTGGAGTTTATCAAGCATTGAAATGACTATTAGAAACAGCACTGTGTAGTTCTAAATAACAAAATAAAAGTAAAATGAAGTCTGTCTAAAGTTGAATCATCATGACTTCAGTAATCCAAGTTCCAGCGCTAGAGAGCAAATCTCAGTAGAAATGCAAAAAATTACAAGATTTTTCTTTTTTGAGCAGAGAGGAATCTCCATTTTCATTTGAAAAGTTATAATTTAGTAATGTTGAACCTAGAATTAAAAACAAATCTTGTGTGCGCAACACATTAAAATAATCCAGAATATTTCTTTCATTTTTTCTTTTCTTTTCTACTATTAGTCTTCTGCAAGAAACACTCTTTTATCTGAATGACTTGTTTTCAAGTAACTATGAAAAGAAATGTACTATTGTGTGTCATTCTTTTAGATCATATATTTAACTTCTTGGATTTTATTCATATGCTTTACATTTTGATTGATACATTTTCTTCTAACCCAAAATGCACAATCCAAAATGGTGCTATGTAGTGTTACAGCCACATTTGAGCAAGATTCTTCAAATTGTCAGATAGGACATTGGCAGTTCCTACTAGTTCAGGAATTCTGCCTGGGTCTCTGATTTAGATGAAATACTACAGCCATCCGGTTCACATAAGCAGCAGTTCGGCAGTTCGAGTCTCACCAGCTCAAGGTTGACTCAGCCTTCCATCCTTCCGAGGTTGGTAAAATGAGGACCCAGATTGTTGAGGGCAATATAGTAACTCTGTAAACCCTTTAGAGAGGGCTGTAAAGCACTGTAAAGCAGTATATAAGTCTAACTGCTATTGCTATTGCTATAAACAGTCTATGTGCCAGGTCAAATACCAGAAGGTGGAAAGGCACCAACAGATTCAAAAGAAAGAGTTGGTTTAGGCAAATTTGTTTGATGCTGTTAAAAGTATCATCACAAGATGTAAGCTGTCTAAGTAAAGCTGCTTTTTGCAATTGACTGATAAGTGATTTTGTCAATGCCAATGATATTCATGTAATGCTCCAAATGTTTTAGGATTTTATTGCCAAGTCTTGTTGTCTGTTTTGCCTGCTAGTTTTTTTTTTTACATACTGGCCATGTAATATTTTATCTTGCCATGCCTCTTTTCTATTTTTTATTGGTCTTTCTTTCATGATATACTAGCATCTTCTTCACTGCCCTTCAAATATTCTTCCAATGGCCATTCTTCTTCTTCAGCAGTCTGGTGTACTTGCAGAATTCCATGCCCGCCTATGCTCCTTGATAAATAGAGTCTGTTATCATTGCTATATGGATGCATTTGGATTTTAAATTCTTCCCTCTCTTGATGCATTCACTTTTAATCTTCTTCACTTGATGTTGTGTGCTTGATGTTGTCAACTTGATGTTGTCAGCTTGAAGGATGCCCAGGTATTTGTAGTGATTGTCTTCATCCAGACTCTTGATGTTATTTCTACTGATGGTGCAGTGGTTAGAATGTAGTATTGCATGCTAACTCTGCTGACAGCCTGGAGTTCAATTCTGATGGTTACTCAGCTTTCGATCCTTCCGAGGTTAGTAAGATGAGGACCCAGATTGTTGGGGGCAATATGCTGACATTGTAAATCGCTTAGAGAGGGATATAAAGCACTATGGAGCAATATATAAGTCTAAGTGCTATTGCTAAGTGCTATAGGGCATCTTGATTCCTCCAGTTTTCATTATTTTTCCTCTGGTAATGGTAAAAGTGGCACATTTATCCAGTTCTAATTGCATTCCTGTGTCATAGAACCATGCTTTTGTAATGGAAATTGCATAGATGTGAAGTGACCAAGAGTTCAGCTTAATCTATAGGCAACTTCATAATTTTGTGACTGAGCCAATTCCTAAAATTTCTTTGATGTTGCTATACTACCAAGCTACTTCAACAGAATCTAGTGTACTGAATTTGATGGTACCATTTTATAATAGCAAGAACAACCAACAAAAAGTTTCCCTGGAATAGTCATGAAGCTGGTTTTTATTATTTCTATGCTGTTAGGTTTCAAGTTTAATGGTATGTGATATTTTTCTTTATTTACACAGATGCTTTTAATTCAGTCTGGTGCAATCTTTATGGTTATTTTTTATTTTACACAAGCAAAACTATTATCAGAAAAAAAACCCCTTATTACTATGGTTAATATTTGCTCTTTACTTCGGTCATTTCCTCTTTCTTTTGCTTATCATCTTTCATGTTCCCTCTATTTCTTTCTTCTTCTTCTTCTTTTTTTTGAAGAAAAAAGTTGGAATTCTTAAGGCTTTGCTGCCTCTGTCTTCTCTTTGTATTGATCAGTAATACTAAAAAGAGATGAGTTAACATAAACCTGAGTAGACTCTGTAACCTTCCCCCTTTCCGCCTTTCTGGAAATGTAGATGCAATAACATTTGCAGTTGAAAAGGTTCATTCTCAGTTTCTAATGTTTAAGGATGCAAATGAAGCATTTTGTCTCTTCTGTGCCTGGAGGTGTTATGCAAGAAAACAGAAAGAGGTTTCTAGGATTAGTTCCACAGATTCCTTTTATCATGTAAAAATCTATGACCAATTTGATTGCCAGGAACTGAGGAAATCCTATATGGAAAACATCTAAAGAAAATTCCTCCCATGTTTCACTTTCCTTCCATCTAAATCAGTAACCACCTTGATAGTTACAGGAAATATTTGTTGGAATGCATGCAATTTTCTATTTACTTTGATTATTTGTGCTCTCTTGGTTTCATGTTTTTAATATGCTTTTTGATTATTTCAGTGTTCTGTTTGGAAAAGTGTACAATTATATTAAAAGGAAAATAGATTTGAATGCTTTGACTTTTGGAATATAAAACTCTTTAAATCCGTCTGATTATTGGTTTTATCTAGCTGTAGTTCCTTCTCCAAGATTTCAACTCCCTTATTCTCTTTTAGTTTTAGTTGACTATGACAGAATGTGGGAATCCATGTGCCCAAAGTTGCCTTACAGGGGAGATGGGCAGCATAAAAAGATAACAAGCAAACAAACAAACATTTAAGTGAGCCAGTTTGGTGTAGTGCTTAAGGCATCAGGCTAGAAATTGGGAGACTTTGAGTTATAGTCCCACATTAGATGCAGAAATCATCTGAGTGACTTTGGACCAGCCCTAGAAGAAGGCAATGGCGAACCACAGGGCAGCTTTCAGGAATGAACACTGTTGAAGGTACAGATTTTTTTTAAAAAATGCTTATTTCAAATAATGATGTGAATCCAGCTTCATCCATGTTTGAGATTGGTGTGTGTGTGTGTGTGTGTATGTCTCTGTGTGTGTGTGTGTTTGTGTCTGCCTGCCTGTCTACTTGCCTGTCTGTCTGTCTTTCCTTTCCATCCATCCATCCATCCATCCATCTCAGTTTTGCTTTTTATGTGCTGAATGGCTAGGAATGGCTCCTCTCCATTGTGATTCATATCAGTATAATCAGGTAAATAGGAATAAAGGAGTCCATTATTCAGAAGAATGCATTTACTTCACAGAATATATATGGTTCAATAGCATACTGTCTGGCAGAATGGAAGATATTGGATGATTTAGGGAATTAATTTGTAAGAATAGTGTATTAGTTTTGGAGAAATGTTTGGAGAAAACATATGAATTTCTTTGCTATTAAGTTTTGGCTTAAAGATGTGAACTAACATGATTTGTATGCTAGAAATTTATTGTTTCACTCTAAATTTTACAGAAGTTGAATTTGTAGAATCAGATGTGGTAACCAAGTGGTAAGAAACCAAACACATGCATTTGCGGGATATCAAATCATTTCTTTGATATGCTTGCCTTTTGTGTTCTGCCTGAAGTAGGGCAGACTGATAAATAAATAATTTTATTATCTTATTAGTTAGCCAGATAATAAGTCCCGTAGACATGAAAGAGATGTATGTAATTTTGATTGCCATTATCACATTTTACTTATCACTTAGTTAGCTGCAACTATAATCCTCTTAGCATTCAACATTCTTTCAAGCACCCCTCCCCAAAAGCCCAGTATGTATTGTATATATGTCTATAGATTGAGGAACATAATTAAGGGTTGACGTTATAATACTATCTAATATATTTGAATGGAACAGTATATTCTTTGATACTGTAAAAATTCAGATCAGTTTGTAAGTTGCAATATAGCATAAAATACAAATAACTGCAGCTTTTCTAGTATTAGTCTAAAATGGAAAGGGTTCTTGATTAGTATGAAGGTTGGTATTTAGAATTCATCTGAAAAAAAAAATTAAAAGTCTATTTCGCATATCTTCAGCCCGTGTAAAAGAAAAAAAATTTGTCTTTACGTGAACCTTAAAGAATGCAGAATGAAATCCTGAACTATATTAAACAACATATTTTAGTATGGATTTGTGGCATCTCAGAGTTATGACTTAATTTTTCTCACTCATAAGATCCTATAGTAAGTCTGGCAAACCTGTTTTATAACTTTCAGCTAGTTTTCCTTGGTCTGGTTTTGATTTGTACAAGCAGTAATTTTGAGTGCTTTGCTTTCTCTTCCTCATATATTTTTAATGTACTGTTTCAAGTTAAAGTTGCTTGTAGTATGTGAGTTACCTTCTAAGAGGTCCATTGTAATACTTTTTCTGATGAGAAGCTTCTCTTCCTTCTTTGTTTCTTCAGGCATCAGAAGGTGTTGTTTTCATCGGACCAGATATGCATGCCATTCAAGCAATGGGAGACAAGATAGAAAGCAAACTGTTAGCCAAGAATGCAAAGGTCAACACTATACCAGGTTACGATGGGGTGATAAAGGTAAGAATTCTTTTTGAAATCAGCTATTTATATAAGCTCATTTTTAATTTAAAAAGTCCTTCCTGGAATTAAGTTATAATTACAACCTTCAATGGGACAGTGGGATTTATGATAGGAATATTTGCATATGATAAGTTGTTGAGATGAATAACACTCTTTATTCTGTGTAAAAGAACAGTAAACTCAAAACTATCACAATGATATGTTTCACATAATGCCATATATGTGAGCTCCCTGGTCTTATGATTGCATAAACATAAGGATAAGTATAAGTATAAATGAATAATTAAATAATAAATTAATAAGAGAAGAGAAGCTGTTCTTCACAATAACAGTGTTTTGAAGAAATAGTGATTTGTTTCCCCATAGAATGAAATGACTGCCATAGGTAGATAGAAGAAATAAAATTTGGGAAGAAGCTTGCTGGATGTGTGAGTTAGACTACTTCCCTGCCCATAAAAATGAGACTGTGTAGCACTTTAATTCAATCTTGAAAAGTTGCTTCAGAACATCTCCTTTAACGAGTTATTGACAGATGCTGTTTTTGCTTTTACATGTTATGAAGTATTTTTGGGAAATCAAATTAAGGTTGTGAGCTGCCTGGAGTTTGATTTAGGATGGGCAGCCATATAAATATTTTAAAAATCAAATAACATGATAGCCCCACTAAAAATGGTTAAGAATTAATTTTATTATCTATGTAGTCTTGCCATGGCCTCTGTTACTTGATCACTTAAAATATGATATAGTGGAGAAAGGCATGAATATTTTGGGACCTGTGAATGAAACATTTCTGCTGTACTTTAAATGTTAAATATAGTACAGATGGTTCTTGTTTAATGACCATTCACTCAGCAACTATTCAGAGTTACAACAGTGCTGAATGAGGAAACATACGGGCAGTCCTTGAAGTTGCAGTTTTCATAGCATCCCCACAGTCATGTGAATGCAGTTTGGGCCCTAGCAACTGGCTTGTAATTACAACATTTGTAATGTCCCACAGTCAAAAGTTCTCCAATGTGCAATATTTTCTTTTTTTTAATTGTATTATAAATAAAAAACTTTTTAAAAAAGTTCTCCATTTTGCGACCTTCATTGCCAGTCAGTGAAGAAACTGGCAAGAAGTCACAGATGGCAATCATGTGACATCATATCTAAAGACATCTAATCATTTGGTTTTCCTTGCCTAAATGTAGAACCTTACTTTTTCACCATTGAATTTCATTTTGTTAGATAGCGCCCATTGTTCAAGCCAATGTTCAATTTAATTTTTGTTTTATGGAGAGAGAGTGTAGATAGCTGTAAACAATATAATAGTTATTTATTTTTTTACTACCTTTGGCCTTCAGTCCAAACCAGTTCCCATGGCAGCCATTGCTAGATATTAAAATGGACCAAATCCGTAGCTATAGGACACCTATTTGCATAAAATTTGCCAGGGCTGTTTTATACAAACATGCAAACGGGCCAATTTCAACCATGAAATAAACTTCGCAACTTTTTTTGATTTTGGTGTTTAGATTAGGACATCTTTGGGAATAATACTGTGCTATTCACCAAGACTGTAGTACAGACTTAAAAAATATATGAAGCATAACATTTGAAAGATGTTCTGTACATGCTAAATATTATGCTATGGTATATATAGACATTAAAATAACTTGAACAAATTATGCAACTGAAATAAGGGTTTGGTTATGGAAGACATGTGCAAGTATATATATTAATGGGTTTTAAAGAAACTATAGGACTCTTGGATTATTTTTACTTTCATATAGGCTTCTGTAGAAATGTACAACATTTATCTGTCACTATTCCTCCACCATAGGGTTAAGATGCAGAAGGATCTTGACAGACTTGAACATTGGGCGCTATCTAAAAAAATGAAATTCAATAGTGAAAAAAGTAAGGTTCTACATTTAGGCAAGAAAAACCAAATGTACAGGTACAGAATAGGTGGCACCTTGCTCAATAGTACAAATTGTGAGAGGGATCTCGGAGTCCTAGTGCACAATCACTTAAATATGAGCCAACAATGTGCTGCAGCAGCCAAAAAAACCAGCACAGTTCTGGGCTTCATTAACAGAGGGATAGAATCAAGATCATGTGAAGTGTTAATATCACTTTATAATGCCTTGGTAAGGCCACACTTGGAATACTGCATCCAGTTTTGGTCTCCACGATGTAAAAAAGATATTGAGACTCTTGAAAGAGTACAGAGAAGAGCAACAAAGATGACTAGGGGACTGGAGGCTAAAACATATAAAGAACAGTTGCTGGAATTGGATATGTCTAGTTTAATGAAGAGAAGGTCGAGGGGGGACATGATAGCAGTGTTCCAATATCTCAGGGGTTTTCACAAAGAAGAGAGTCAAGCTATTCTCCAGAGTACCTGAAGGCAGGACAAGAAGCAATGGATGAAAACTCATCAAAGAGAGAGGCAACCTAGAGCTAAGGAGAAATTTTCTGACAGTTAGAACAATTAATCAGTAGAACAACCTACCTCCAGAAGCGGTGAATGCTCCAATACTGGAAGTTTTTAAGAAGAGACTGCACAACCATTGGTCTGAAATGATAGAGGGTTTCCTGCCTGAGCACGGGTTTAGACTAGAAGACCTCCAAGGTCCCTTCCAACTCTACTACTACTACTACTACTACTACTACTACTACTACTACTACTATTACTATTACTGTTACTATTGTTATTGTTGTTGGTGTTATTGTTGTTATTATTATTATTATTGTTATTATTATTCTCTAGAGTGGATAAAATATGTATATGCTGATTTTTGCTTCAGAATCCTGACATCTCTAGTCCTGCCTTTCTTTGAGAATGTATAAAATATTTTCCCCTTCATCTGAACAAAATGCATAAATGCCTATATTTACAGGACATCACTTATAGTCCTTTCACTTGTTTAAGTTTTCAAAAGTAGAGAATAATTGGGGACATTAATCTTGTCTCCTCTCTTTCAAGAGACTCATCTTTCTATAGGTGATCCATAGAACCTTATTGGAGGTATCCATGCAGCATGTAGTGATGCTTGTGTGTCAAGGGAAGGAGATCAGCTGATAAACACCTCTTTTTAAGGATCCCCACCTATATGCCAATTAAAATTAGAAAAATGTTCATTTTCCTTTTGTCTTTTGGCAAAGGAATGTGATAATCTTCAGAAGAATAACAAACTAGAGAGTTAGTTGCTCTCCCTCTGCTACTTATTCCCCATGAAACCTCCCTCCTCCAAGCAGTAAGCGATTTGCACCAATGTTAAATTTGAACTCTTAAGTCAGGTCTGGGTAAGGAGATGGTCTAGGATTGCAGCATGGGGGGAAGATGGAAAAGTTGTAACTATCTTTTCCTCCATATAAGGATAACATAGAAATCCAGACCCTGCATGGCAATGAAGCTTGGGAAGGAAAAAAAATATTTCCCAGTGTCAATTCTTAGAGCAAAAGAATTAGAAATGGAAAAGATTTTTCCTTTTGATTTCCAGAACATGTACCCAGGTTTAATTTCAGACTTCTGCTTTTTAAGATTCTTACTGGATTAGTTTTATAAACAGGGAGGCCATATAAATAGAAGCTTAACATCCTGATGATTGGGAATGTTTAGAAGAAAAAAACATGGAGAGAAAAATGCTGGGAAAAATAGTAAAAGAAGATTTCTTAACTTTTTTTTTTGTTCTTTCTCTTTTCAGAAGTAGACTGGCTGGCTTTTAAATAGAAGTGTGTAGATTCAGTGAAGCTATGCGCTTTTGACTAGCAGAAGAACATTTATTATTTTAATTTTTTCACAAACAGTAGGTTGATAGGATGGTGAAATAGCTTTTATTTTTGAAGGCTGCAAATTATAGTTTAACACTAGTAATAAAAGGAGTAATAAAGCAATTTTAGTACTGCTTTGAAATGTAAATGGCATACAGTAACTAGTTGACTTCATATGAGCTTGAAGTCTGAAGCAGTTTTTCCTGGTTTACAGGTAACTAAAAGAGAGAGGAAGAACTAGGTTGCTTGAACTTTAAAATTCTGTTAATAAAGCTATGCATGATTTTTTTGTTATGGAGAAAAAGAAATACGGAACTTTCCTCCTTGGCTCTATAGTAATCAGGCTCTTCGTCAGTCCTCACTCTTCCTGCATTTTATTCAAGAGGCTCTAATTGTCTGTATTTGGCAGGTTTAACACTTCCTGACAGAGAGGCTATTAGGGGGAAGTATTCTCACATAACTGTCACAGGCAGGAACAAAGAACCTTCAGACTCAATGTGTGGAAATCACTAACATTCTTAAATGACCCTTTTCATGCATTTTTAAAAATCCCTCTAAGCTAGAACTTGGTGCCTGCTGGGGCTGCAGGGAAAGCAACAAGGTGTAACAGTAAACCTTGATTTTATTCTTTCCTGCTTTTTGGAGTGGATTTCTGTTTGGTTTAAAGCAGTTTTTGTTTGTAAAATCTCATTAACAGATGTGCCTATTTGAATTAAACAGATACACACACAGATACTTGCACATTTAAAGCTGATACTGGATTCAGGGCTGCTTTGAACTTAACAGGCACTGATTTGCAGAAAAGAATAGTTAATGAAAGGAAATTAAATTTTCTAACTACTTCCTGTAGCAACTTCCTTAATCTTCATCATACTCTTGGTACGTACTAAAAAGATTTTGTTTTAATGCTTCCTTAACAAGAATCCTCCATCCCCTCTTTCTTTGAGGCAAGAAGAATGCTTGCTGGATTAAAAAAAAAACCCCAACTTTTAAAATATCAGTTTTCATTTTAATGTCCAAAAGTCAGTCCCTACAGATTCAGTCCTGTAGATTAGCTGGAGTATTCTGAATATATAGTATATACTAAACCAGCAGTAGGAGAGTTTGGGGTTTAATTTATCTTTTAAAAACAAGAGTGAACTCTAACATAAGAATTGTGAGCTCACCAATTTGCTTTGAATTTTAGAATGGAATGAAAGGTAGGCCTACCAAGCATAAGTCTACTTACCCTATTTTTTATTTCAGTAAGAGGAATAGTTTTGTTTGCTATTTTTGAACAGTTGATTGTTAGAAATCTGCATTGATGTAGTCTGAGAAGATCTTGTAGATTTGTTCAAGACTGTAGTTCAAGATTTGTTTGAACTGCTGGGGATTGGGATGGTACACTTTTAACCATTATTTGAGCTATATTTTCATCTTGTTTTGTTACTTTCTCCACCCATGTGTCTTATTCAGAATCTTAATTCTAAAATAAAAGTAAGTAGATACAACAGTTTGTATTCTGTTGTTAAAATGCCAAATGCTATTAATGTTTGTGAGTCAAAGTTTCATTTAAAGTTAGGATTGCTTTTTGAATTATTAACCTCCATCTTGACACCCACTTCGCCCAATTTATGCAACATTATATTTGAAGTTTTCTGTAAATTTAATACTTGTGTTGATGCTGAAGCTTAGCCAAACAATAGAGAATCAACTCCCCCTGCTGACTATATCTAGGCCAACATGATACACGGGTACTTTAGAAGATAGGAAAAAACTAAAAAAGCAAATAAAAAGGGTATTAACTGGCTGCTGATAAATCCTAATGTTCTGATCTTTGCTTCTTAGTGGAACCTTCTAAATTCAATAATTTGAGCAATTTGAGTAATCCTTCGGGAGTCCTGTTGCTTTTTGTTTTGTGTTTCACTAAGTCATTTTTTATTGCTTAAGGGCTGTGTAATGCAGTGACAAGGTAAAATTTACATTTCATTGGAATTAATTTTATATTTCTGTGAATGAAGTGGGTCAGAAGGTTGTAAAATCAAACATTAAATGTATTGAAGAAGGCAGTGTAATATATGATTGCCCTAGAGACATTGAACAGCGCTGATATGATTAATGGTGGGTCCAATTTCCTGCTTTTACAGGATGCAGATGAAGCTGTCCGAATTGCAAGGGAAATTGGTAAGTTAGGGGTTTTTTTACATGGGGACTGAAAGAGATGCGCATGCTTTTCAGAAGATGCTCTTGACTAAATTATTTAATTATTTTGGTTTTCAAATTCTCTATTGCTATAAGAACTGGAAGGCGTAATTTGCACCTTAAAACAAATCTATATTTATATCTACATTTTAGCAATTTATGTTGTAAACAGGATAACATTGACCTGTGATAAAATATAGGCTTTGGTGAGCAACAAGTAAGGATAGAATTTATGTTCACTGTTACCTCCACATTTGACTTTTTTTAAATAAAAAAGTTTACTTGTTTTATAAAACAAATTTTCATTCAGATTGAGTGGAGTTTAAAACATGTTTTGAAATATTGTGTGAGTGTCAGCAGAATCTTTTGAAGTGAGTTACTGAATCAGAAGAACCTAAATTACTTCTCTGGATCATTGTCTACATTTTGACAACTTCATTTTTATAGAATAGATTTTTTTTAATCATTGAAATTTTGAAGTAGTTGAGGTGTAAGAAGTAACCATTCTTTCCAACTAGGATTGATTGCTGGTGACAACATTCATGCAGTTTTGTTGGCAGTGTTTTATCTTGCTCTGGATGTCCAGGTACTAACCAGAGCTCATCCTGCTTAGCTTATGAAATAAGACAAAGTTGACTAGATGCTGCCACTTGCTAAGATGGCATGGAGACTATAAATCTAATTAAATTTAATCTTATATTTGATCTTGGCCAATATTACGTGAGAGTGTCTTAGAGAGAGACTAAGCAAGATAACATGCATTTCATAGATATTTCAGAAATCTTTGGCCAGTTGTTATTTCTTAGTCTAAGTAACCTGTATGAAAAGGGACAACTTATGAAAATTATAAGAGATCCAACCTAGAAATAAGGAGAATTTCCTGACAGTGAGAAGAATTAATCAGTAGAATGGCTTGTCTTCAGAAGTTGTGAATGCTCCATCGTCAGACAACCATTTGTTTGAAATGGTATAAGGAGGTTGGATTAGAAGACCTCCAAGGTCCCTTCCAACAATTCTAATTCTTATTCTAATTCTTCTATCCCTGTCCCTATCCCTTTTCCCCTATCCCAGACTGAGAAATGTAGAACTTAGGGAATCTTATGGATGTTTTGAAACATAAGACATAGTTGACTAACTTTGTGACCTTGCACATGAGGAATGTTTTAATGAGAAATTCACTTCTAAAACAAAGCTAAATTTCTAGGTACAAAAAACAGTTTTTGGAAAAATGGAAATAGGAGGAGAACAGGGAAGGCTATAATCACATGTGTACATAATTTCAAGTAAAATCAATACAATCAGCCCCGTTATTGTTGTTTATTATCTCCTTGAATAAACTGAACCTTTTGCTTTGATATTTTTAGGTAGGTTATCTTTGTTTTTCTCCTGTTTCTCTGAGTACTTTTTTCAGTTTTACAAAATACAGGGCATAAACGAAAGCCAGACTCCATGGGGAGATTAAGAATAGTGCTGCATGTCTAGGTCTATTCAGCAAATCAAATTATTTAGAGCAGCATTCCCAAACCTTTCTGGCTTTGCGAACCGGCGGGGGGGGGGGAGAGGTAGTGGTTCTGCATGAGTGGCTAGTGAGCGTGCACATGCAGCTTCATTTGCACAAGCAGCAAGCATATGCACTCGCTTCTCGTGGCCAGTGCTAGGCCATGGGGACCCTTGATTTAGCGATTAACCCCACCTTCCTAATATCTCTTTTCAGAATAGGAAATGTACAGGTTTCTTTTTGCCAGTTTTAGTTTTATTGAAACGGGATATTAATTCTGGGGGAAAAAGTTGGTATAATGTTGCCAATGATCAGAGCTTCATGTAAGATTGATACGTAAAGAGATTGAGTAAAGAAGTAACACCAAAGTTTGGTGCTTTTTCATTTATTTCATAAAAATAGTAATCCAATATGAAGTGTGTCCATGCAAAAAAAAAATTAATGTCTAGTTCAGTTAATTCAATTTTCTATCCAATACACCAGGGGTGTCAAACTGCCGGCCCATGGGCCGGACACATCACAAGGAAACTGCGCCCACCCCGTTGCCGGCACTGGGGGGAAAGTTCCGATACGTCGCGTGACGTCGTGAGTTTAACATATCTGCAATACACATATGATAAATTTTGAAGTCTCCATTCAAAGATTCTAGAGGACACACCATATCCCAGTCTGATAGGTATTAATTGATTCTTGATTGATTAATACAGTCTAGAGAGATTTCTTACATTTCTAGGCACCGTTGATGTCAGAAATGTCTCCAAATAATAGCAAATATTTCCTACAGTACCACATGAAATTGTCCAGGAAGTCAGAAAGAACCACAGTATAATTTGGAATGTCCAAGTTAAATTCAAATCTAAACCTCATAAAAATGGAAAAATTCAGGCTAAAAATCCTCAGATGATACTGAGTTGAAGCAATTTATCATATAGGAGTGGCACAAAAATTCTATACAGCAACGTATATGTAAGAATCATTTTTATACGAAAATTAAGTTGACATAGAGAAGATAAAAAGATGAAGTTTAATAATCAAATCACATAAAATCTGTATTCAAAATTATGCACTGCTGTCAAATTTTAAACTGTGTCTAACATTGTGCCAACAATTTAATTAGGTGAAATAAAATTAGCCAAAAAAAGAGAGACCATTTCTCAACTCTTCATTTAATGATATTTAAGCAATGATAATACAGGTAAAAATAAAAGAACCCACAGAATTTCTATCATGTATGACACTCTCATAGTATATATTGGTTATAATCTTATCATTCTGTTTCATAGAACTAATTATCTTCCTTAATTCATAATATTTCTTGTGAAATGAAATACTTGCCAACTCCTTTTCCTTCAACACCTTTTAAGAACATAAATACAGCAAAAATATATTTAATAAAATAAGATCAGATAAAGATCATTCTTTATGTGGTAGGCATCAGCTACATAAGTAAAGAGAAAGAGAGCATGTTAGCTGAATGAAGTACAATACAGGTGGTCCTTGAATTATGAGACAGAATTTCCGTTACTAAACAAAGTGATTGTTAAGTAAGTCACATCTGATTTTATGACCTTTCCTGCCACAGTTGTTAAGTGTATCACTGTAATTGTTAAGTGAATCACATGATCATTAAGACAATCTGGCTTCCCCCGTTGGCTTTCCTTGTTGGGAACTAGTTGGGAAGGGTAGAAATGGTGATTACGTGATGTCAGGGTGCTTTCAACCATTGTAAATATATGACAGTTGCCAAGCGTCTGAATTTTGATCATTTTGACCATGGGGATTCTGTGATGGTTATGAGTCTGTAAGTCATTTTCTTTGGTGCCATTGCAACTTGCAGTGGTTGCTAAACGAATGGCTGTGACTCGAGGACTACTTGTATACAAATTTTATTCTAAAACTGAAGACTTCTTTATTGATCTCTCTATTATCCAAATATTGGTTGTTTTCCACAGTTTCGTTTAAAATGTGGATAACCCTTCTCAGAGTGGTCTATCTGACTGCTTCATATTTAACATCTTGGTGCTTGGATTGGACGAATGAAACTGTCATTAATTTAGCATACTATTTTTCTTCTGTAGGTCTTCATGTCATGTTAAGTTGAAATTCCAATTTTTTTAAAAAAATGGTTTTGCTTGTTTGAGGATCTTTTGATGAAAAGACAATGTTTTAGATATTTATTAAAATGCTAGGTTTTATTGGTTGTTGCGAATTCAGCCCGATCAGCTTAAATTCGGGAGATTGCTGTCATTAAAATCACTGTACTGTACAGATAATGCAACTTAAATTCCTCTTCCCAGCAGAAAGCTTTTTAATAAGCTTGTTATTGACCTTGTCATTGAACATGTGGTCAGTTGTCATAAATGTATGATCAAAATTTAAATTTCTGTCTAATTGTTCCCTGCTGCTAGGCTACCCTGTGATGATCAAGGCTTCGGCAGGTGGTGGTGGAAAAGGCATGAGAGTTGCATGGAGTGATGAAGAAGCCAGGTGAGATGCTGTCCAGAAATCAGTTTTGATGACTACTTCTGTTTTCAAATCCAGCTATGCCATTCTTTCTTTTTACAGTTCTCATAAACTATTATAAACTAGCAGTTAAGCAGCAAATGAACAAGTTTTTGCTCTTATTCCCTAGGCAGTCTATTGCATGTAGTCCTCCACTGATGACCATTCATTTAATGATGCTTCAAAATTATGTCAGTACTGAAAAAATTACTTACGACCAGTCAATAATTAGTGTGCCCATGTGATCAAACTTTGGGTACTTGGCAGCCGGCATGTATTTACAATGGTGGCAGCATTCTGGATTACATAATATGATTACTATTTATGATGTTTTCAGGTAGTTTCCATCAAGTAAAGTCAATGAAGAAAGCCGGATTTGCTTAACAAACACATGACTTGCTTAATAACTGCAACAAGAAAGATCATAAATAGCCACATCATTTAGCAATGAAAGTCCAGTTGTGGTCTGTGGTATTCCATTGTAAGGAGGATGAACTAGAAGTCCCATTCCAGTCAGAATGACTATGGACAAGGTGAAATGGTCCTGCTAACATGGGCCTGGTATACCTTAACACTTTTCTTATACTGGACTTTTGTGTATATGTTTTTTCTGTCCATATGATTCAACTACTATTCCATAATTTTTATTAATACATTAGTTACATTAATCCCATATTTTCGTGAAGCTTGGGAGCCCAAAGCAAGATGGCACAGCTGTTTTGTAGCAGCACTGATGCCATGGAACAGCCCTTTGATTGAACTCAGGCTAGCTGCCTCCTTGATGATTTTTTGGGGGAAATTTGAAAATGGAATGGTTTCATAAACCTTTCCCCTGATTGTATATATGATGCCATCCTTTTTTTGTTTTATTTTTAGTCTTTTTTCTGTTTTTGTTGCTAATATTTATTGTGCTCCTCCCATTATTTTAAATGTATTTGTAGTAAACTATTTCTATTTATAGTCTATGTAAGCTATTGAAAGTCATTTTTGATTGCAATGTGATAGAAAGGTGTTGGATATGTAAATAAACAAATCCTTTAATGGTGTTAGCTGATAAATTATTTACAAGATTTGCTTTACCCACCAACACAGACCAATAGAAAATAACTGCTGACTTTCAAATATTTTCAGTGACTAAAACAGGATTTGACTATACTTTTGGAGAGACGACTCATGAGTTGATGGGGCTGATAGGATGTAGGTGTGTGTATGTTGGGAGAAGCCACAAATATCTTCCTCACAACCTCATATCATAACTGAGGAGAGTGTTTAACCATGTTCTTCTTCAGAATTCTAGCAAGCCTGGTTGCTGTTTTCAATATCTTTAGTAACATTATTGCGAACAGCAATCATCCTCTTAATGATTGCTGATTATCTGAAATTAACAATAACAAAAAACAGCTATTTTGCCAATACCAGGATTCTGCATTTTTTAAGGGGATTTAAAATCAGTATTTTGTACATACCAATTTTATTCATACCCTCAAGCACACAAAGTTAAATTATGGCTGAGAGAGAAAAGGGATCATTCATCAACAAACTCATTTCTGCAGTTGAAAGGAGTTGAACATTGAGATGGTTCACCAGATAATGGCACTAAATGACTTTGATTTGAGTTTTTATTTTATTTTATAATTTAGAAATGTGATTTATGAAGTTATCTTTAAATTGCTAGGAAAAAACACACATTAGAAACTAAAAAAAAGTAATGTAAATTATGGTCAACAGGCCAGTAATTAGACATGCTAATTTATGTTGATCTAAACAACTTTTCAATTATGCACCTGTTAGGTATGAATGTTTCCCTAATGTGTAGAAATCCTCGGCAACTTAGTCATTGTTTATTTCTGTTTTATTATCTAATAACTTTTTTGTTCTGTTTATAATAGTTTTTATATTTGCACAATTTCCTTCCTCCATGGATCATATAGCATGGGAGAAGAGAGAAGGTTAACATATTGTGAACAAAAAGAGACACATTTTGGAATTAGCTGTAGATTTTATATATCCTATAAATTTAGTAGAAATACCTCACTTCCACATGTGTATGGATATAGAATATTGGGAAAATTAAATGTATGGATTATATTTCATTTGTTGCAGTTATGATTTTTATTATTGAGGTTTTAAAGTGATTGAATAGAAGTTTTAAAATACATTTTAAAATTAATTTTACTGAAAGAAGATTTCAGAAAGATTTAAAGAACTACAGAAATATAGAAGAAATAGAAAAAAGATTATAAAGGTGTAAAGGAAAAATGAAAAATAAATGTATAAAAAAAGAGAAAAATTTCTAAAGAATCAACTTCTGACCAGCAGTTACACACATAGTAATTACCATCTATAACCTCCCATATTGCATATTATAGTTCATGTATTCCCATAAACAAATATTTTAATTAATAAATCCCCAAAATAGCAATTTATTTTTATTTATTTTTAGCAAAAAGTTTTTAAAGGGTTTCCAGTCTTTTCTAAAAGTGGTTGTAATATTCTCCTTAATCAAACAAATCAATTTAGCCATTTCTGCAAATTCAGCAATCTTCACAATCATTTTCTCTGTTATTGATGTTTCTGTAGAGTTCTATTTTTGTGCATATAATAGCCTCCCTGCAGTTATCTTATTAAAACCAATTGTCCATGAGCCTTTTCTAGTTGAGTGTAAGTTCCAATAAGAAAAGTTCCAGTTTTATCTGAATGTTAATTTTTAAAAATTCTCTGCATCACCATATGTATTTGTGTTCTTTCCACTTTTTCCCAAGTCTACCATGCATGATAAAATGTCCCTTCAAGTGAATCTTCCATCTTTGACTTTAGATGGAGTAGTGCTTCCCCCTTCAAGAATGGGTTACAATCTGGGGATCTTTCTGGATCTGCAGTGTGGCAGCTGTGGCCAGGGAGGCATTTGCACAAATTCATCTGGTGCACCCTTTCCTAGATTGGGGACTGTTCAGACAGCGGCTCATGCCTAATTACCTTGTGGATCGACTACTACAATACTTCCTAAATTGGTCTCCCTTGAAAATTATCCAGAAGCCTCAACTGGTCCAAAATGTAGCAGTACAAGCAATGATGTACATGCCTAATGTTCCAGAAGTTTCACTGGTTGCCAGTTGGCTTCCAGGAACGAGTCAAGGTGTTGGTTGTTACTGATAAAGAGGGAGTATTATAGTGGAGGTGATTGATAGATTAACAACAGATCCCAGCTCCCCCCTTTTGCTCGTGCACCTCTCATCTTTTAATTGGGCTGCAGTGTTTGGCTTTTTATATTAACTTATTTATGTCTTTTAGCTCAGAGTTCATTGTTGGTGGCCTGGAGGAGGGGGGAGGGGAGATAGAAGGGATGGTTTTGTGGGAGGGATAAATACATGCATGTGCACGTGTGCATGAATACCCCTTGATTGCGCAAGTGGGACTGCAAGTGCCCAAGATGCTTGCGGCGACGCTTGTGTGAGTGGAGCCACGGATGCTCATGATGCTTGCAGCAACATTCGCGCGAGTGGGGCTATCCGAGCACACATGCATGGACTGGCCAGGGGCCAATAGGCTGCGGCCTGGTAGTGGGCCATGGCCCACAGGTTGGGGACCCCTGTTTTAGCTTACACAGTTTTAATAATTTATGATTGTAAAGGGCAGCCAATAAATGTTTATTAATAAACAAATAAACAAATTCCTACATATCATAGGCCCTGGCTCCTTGAGAGACTACCTGCCTCCCATAGTATGTGCTTGGCTAATTTGATTTTGGTGCACTCAGGATTCCTTTAGGTGCTTCACTAGTCATAATAATCTTGTGTCCCGTGGGAACAGAGGTCATCTACTACTCTCATGATCAGGGACTGGGCGTTGTACTAGAAAGCCCACCAAATGAATGTATTGGAGGAATGTAATGATGGCATAGTTTTGTGGGTGGGATATTATACTCTGTAACTGGGAAATTTTAGTGGGAATTTCAGACTTGGTTTCACTTTTGATCGTGCCGATAATTTGTAACTAATAAACATGTTCTTTGAGGAATTTTCAAGCCTCGGAGTTCTGCTTTATTCATCTCTGTCTGTCAGAACCATGACATTCAACCAAGTCTTCTAAAACTTTCATTTTCTCGGGGCCCTGATCGCCTACCCATCTTTTGGGAGAGCGGTGAAGACTCGGTGAAGATTTAAAGATGGAGGAAAAGAATGGAGCCATTGCTGGCTGCAATGGAACTCCAGCTGTTGGAGCACAAGCAGCCGCTCCAGCCATTGAGAAGGCGACACGGACAGGGGCTTGGCCAAAGTCCAGGTTGATCCAACCTGAGAAGTTTCCAATTTAAAGTGATGCCTTTTGGACTACAAGGAGCCCCTGTTGTATTTATACAGTTAATCAAGCAGGTGCTCCATGATCATTTGTGCAAAGGGGTTTTAGTTTAGTTTATCTTGATGACATTCTCATTTACCCTGAGATTATGGAAGAGCACATTAAATTGGTCCGCAAAGTGCTGAGGAAACTACTGAGAACTAAATGTACACAAAGCTATCTAAATGTGAGTTTCACCAGACATGCCTTGACTATCTAGGGTACCAAATTTCAAATGAGGGCATAGAAATGAATCCTGCAAAAGTGAAAGCTGTATTGAAATGGCAAACCCCTCGCACCCGTAAACAACTTCAAAGCTTTTGGGGAGTTGCTAACTTTTACCCCCAATTTTTCCTCTCTTTCACAAAGATAGCTATGCCAATAAACAACTTATTGAAAACAGGGAAAGGAGGGGGGAAAGCCCCCATCTTGTCAGCCTTTGCCATGGTCCCTAGAATGCCAGGCTCCATTCAAGAAACTAAAAAGACTCTTTGCAGCCGAACCTGTTCTCAAACACCCTGATCCTGAAAAGCAATTTATCATTCAAGCTGATGCGAGTGACGTGGCTGTGGGTGCTGTCCTCTTACAAAAAAAATCACGGGGGGACTTACAACCCTGTGCTTACACTTCCCGAAAGCTGACTGTCCCAGAGAGGAGATGGGCCATTTGGGAGATGGAGGCTTTTGCGGTATGATGGGCACTACTAACATGGTGCCATTTCTTGGTAGAGGGGGAAGCCCATTATAAGATAAAACAAATTCTTAATTCTAGGTTGTACAAGGGGAAGTTACAATACCTCATTCAGTGGAAAGACTACCGTCAGAAGCTACGTGGGTGAAATGTACAGATGTGAAAGCAGAACGGTTAATACAGAAATTTTACAACAGACATCCTCACAAGCCTCAAGGAAATACCTAACGGGCTTTTTGTTTCCCCTACAGGAGATTCTTTCCTTGTGGGGGGGCGACTGTCAACTCTACAATGAGCCTGGCTGCAGCCATCTTTCTCTTCATTCTAGGTTGCCACATAGGACGGAGGGAGGGGGTTTGCCCAGGTGCTTCACTAGTCATAATAATCTTCTGTCCTGTGGGAACCAAGGTCATCTACTGCTCCCATGATCAGGGACTGGGCGTTGTATTAGAAAGCCCACCAAATGAATGTATTGGGGAATGTAATGATGGCATAGTTTTGTGGGTGGGACATTATACTCTGTAACTGGGAAACTTTAGTGGGAATTTCAGACTTGGTTTCACTTTTGATCGTGCCGATACTTTGTAACCAATAATCATATTCTTGGAGGAATTTTCAAGCCTCGGAGTTCTGCTTTATTTGTCTTTGTCTGTCAGAACCATGACAAAGAGAGGATAAAAATGGCCACCTCAACAATGAAGCCCTCTGAGCATATCTCTTGTTCCCTGGATCCCCAAGCCTGATGACATAGGAAGATCTTGAGGTCCTTCTTCAGGGGGGAAACAGTGTTCTATGAGATGGTGCTACAGCAGAGAAAGAATGTATTCTTGCAGCCACAAAATGTGATCAGAGTTTCTCATTGCTTAGTCAGCTCTTGAAAGGTATTATAAATTATTTTGTTATTAACAGCTTTGGTTATATCATATATTTTTCCAAACCTGTAGATACATACAAGTCATGAACAGTCAATATTTTTCCTTCATGAAAAGTTGTGTTGCTTGTTAGCATTCTTAAGATAATGACACATGTTGGATTTGTATTGCCTTTCCAGAATTCACTTTGTAGAATGTTTTTTCACAGTCATTATCATTCACAAATTCTTTTCGTAGTTTAATGCAAGAAACAAAAACACAATTTCTTGCATTATTGTTCAAATGTAGGTCTGCAGTTTTGAGTATTCCAGTGATCAGTGACATTTATATATTGAACTAACGATGTCTGCAGGAAATTGGCAAGATAGAGTTGGAATGCAAGAGCTACACCCTTTGAATATGCGTTTGACAGCAACACACATACACACAGGATGGGGCTTCTATTGTAACAATCTGTTTGCCATCTTACTGGTTTTAATGTTCCCATCCTGTAGATGCCACTGGATACAGATGACTTCATTATAATTTCCCCTGAACACTATTGGTAAAGTGCTTAGCTGTTGCCTTGTTTTAGAATGTTTCTGACTTTAGTCTGTCAATTTTCCTTGTAATTTCTTGCTCAAGTACTGACAGGGCCAACACTGCCTAGTTTCTTTCAGAATCAGTCAAAGATGAGTAGGTAGTACCACCTGCAGTGTTCTTTGAGTTTTAATATGTTATAACTGGCTTCCTTTTGTAATACTTATGAATCATGGCATTTAAACCTACAAAATGAAAATGTACCCATTATTGTACTTTCAGCAGTTGAAACCTTTTAATTCAAAGCTATTTGTACATGCAGGATTCTTAGTCTTTTATTAAACAGAAATAATATATTGTCCATATTTCTAACTAGATTTCTTTGCTTTATCATAAAGGGAAGGTTTCAGGTTTTCATCTCAAGAAGCTGCTTCAAGTTTTGGTGATGAACGGTTATTAATAGAAAAATTTATTGATAATCCTCGCCACATAGAAATTCAGGTTTGTGTTTTTCTCTTTCAACTTTCCATGTGGGGTTGTTATCTAGGTTCTACTGAGTTTTATTTTTTTCTTGTATTATCCTTGCATATTAAATTAGTAAGAATGATTTTTCATGCTGAAGATAAACCTGTGAATATTTGTGTGAAAAAGTTGCTGAACTGAAAGCCATTCAGTAACTTAATTTAACACTTGTATTGTAGAACACTGAGATAAAAAAATCACCAATTTAACATACCTTATTCTTGCAAAATAGTCCCATTATTATTCCTTTTTGTCTTGGTGTTATAATGTTACAAACTACCTAGAAATGAAGGATTCTGCATGCCCAAAAGGATTTAGATTAATGTTTTTCTTAATAGTAGCTGCTTCTGCAGCATGTAAACTATTTTTCAGGTATGAATTTTAAAAGCTTTTTCTTTTAGTAGTGGTTGCCTTGGATATCAGTTTTTCACCAACATCCCAAGAAAAGGATAGGTAACCATTTTAGCTGCAGAAAAAAGATAAATAATCCATAATAGGACAATGCCTTTTAAATCAGTGTAGTAAGTTGAGGGTGGAGGTTCATTCTCTGCGCTTGTAGGTTGGTTTCCAAATTTTTCATTACCAGGCTAAGTAACATCTTCAGCAGAATTTAGGGGATGTCAGTGTCGGGATCTTCTGCTTATAAGGGCCATGTAATCAGTAGATCTTGTGAGCAGTGTAGTAAGTGTCACAAAACAGTCTGAAAGATAGCAGAAGATCCCAATACTGACATCCCCTAAATTCTGCTGAAGATGTTACCTAGCCTGGTAACAAAACGTTCGGAAACCAACTCTTCAGGCTTTCCACCAGTGAGGATGGTAAACAAAACTGTGTGTGATATCACCACACATGTACAAAAGGGGCACCTATTTCATCATGATGTAGTGTTCATTCATCATTTATTCCCCCACCCTTCTCTGGATGGCCAAGCCTAGTTGTCTACCACTGTGAACTGACTCAGCAAGATGCTAGAGCCTATTCAGACTTTTTCTGGTTTAAACTCTTCAACCTTCTTCTAGCATATTTCCTACTTTTTACAGTATTTTTTTAATGGAGAAAAAAATCTAAACAGAATAGAAGTGTAACATTTATTCTTTTCCTTATTTGAATAGAACAGGAACAGATACTGTAGATTATTAATTCAGATAAATGCTTTGTAGTACCATTGATGAAATATTTTCACTGAAACAAGCTACTTGAAGTAGAGAATGAATGTAATTTTTTTAAACCATTAACCCTGAGTTCTTATTAGATATTGGCTGACAAACATGACAATGCATTATGGCTGAATGAAAGGGAATGTTCAATTCAGAGAAGAAACCAGAAAGTTATTGAAGAGGCACCAAGGTGAGTGCAGTGTATTCTTTATGAGCATAAAGAAACTTTAATAAAATGTTAATACTGAATTGTATAATTTAGTGTTAATAGAAATTAAGGATCACTGAACTTTTTACTAATCTGAAGTCCTTTCATGAGCTTGAAAAAAAATTAAACAAGAGTAAACTATTATGTTTTAGTGGTTGCAATATTATTTGATGATAATGCTTTGTTGCCTGAAAATCTTTTTATGAGAGAGAGATTTCTTTATTGATTCTGATTCCTTGAGAATAAAAGTATTATATTTTAGCTTTTCAAATGCTAGAGTTCTTTTAACAATAAATAGTAGCAGATAATTTCAGAAAATAAATACATACCTATATGATTTTTCCATAGTATTATATAGATACTATATTTCATAAAAGCTTCACTGCTGGGATGAATAAAAACTTAGTGCCTTATTAAATCTCCCCATTGAATTGTAATCTGGTAGAGTAGTAAACTGAATAATCAGAGAGATTCCTGGTTTTTACATACATTTCATATTTCATACACTATATTTTCCTTCTGTCCAAACCATCATGTTTGCTTCCACTCAACTATAGACTGCTTCCTTCCAGAAGCAGTTCTTTATCAGAAATGGAAAGAAATCATGATTCAGAGAACTGCTCATGCATGACAGAATTGCCCTTGTGTGTATGCTCATAAAAGTTTCTCTGGATGTAGGCTTACACATACTAATGAAGAAGGAGGTGAATATGTCACAAATCCATTCTCTGTGTGTACATTGTTCACTAAGACAAGGGCTCCCAACCACTGGGCCGCTATCCACTATTGGGCCGTAGTCTGGAACTGGGCTATGCGAATAGCTGGCCAGGGCATGCACATGCACAGCTCGACTTGTGTAAGTGGCAGACCAGTTACCCTCTCCCCCTTGCCGAGACGCCAATTCATAAAGATTGGGGACCACTTCACTAAAATATGATTTGTTTTACTGCTTTGAGGTAAAGGTTGAATATGTAGTAGTGATGTTTTAGGAAAACAAGAATGTTATGAATGTTGCAGATCCTTTTGAAATAATACTCCTTTTATTTACCCAACTGCTATGTCCCTTCTCTATTTTTCCTTTCTTTCCCTAGTGTATTTTATTTTCTTAGCTGATGAGCAGGCACACTGACTTTATTTATCTTTATTCCTGTATGTTGCCTGGCTCCTTTATAGAAGCTTAATAAACACAGATTTTAAAACCATTTTGAACACAGGAAATACCTTCTGTTGCACAGTTTATTCTTTGATTCTCTTGCTGTTCAGATAATTATCTTGCTTTGATTTACCACACTAATATAAGAAACATAGTAACACACTTGTTTGGTCCTTGCATTGAATAGGGGTAGATGAGAATAGAAACAAATTATGATATTGCACTTTTTAAATGAAAAAATATCTACATGTCTGTACTAGTTCATATGTCTTACATATGGTTTGGTAGATAAATGTGAACATTTGTAAAGGTAAATAAAAACTTCGAGTGTTTTGAAGTACTATCAGAATACAATGAAAAGACATTGCCAGGGTATATATTTTTCTGAGCTGATATGCCTTTGGCCTCTGGAAGATGATATATTTAGTGTCCTGTAGTGAGGAGACTTGCAGGCTGGGGAGCAGTCTTGAGAGTGAATCCCAAGAGGGCTTCACAACTGTACTCTAAGGCAGAAGAACAGCTGTGCTTAGGGTGGAACGAGGAGGAACCATGCTGAGTAAACAGATGAATCAAAGTAAGAAAAATAGAAAATTAAAACTTTCAGTTTTGAAGTAAAGTTGAGACAATAATTTAAAATGCAAGCTGTTACTGTCATTGGATGTCAGATACAGTGTTGTAGGCTAAAGTTGAAATGGCAATTCAGTTTGAAGCTTTGGGCTTTCATTTCAGATTTTTCTCTGAAACATTCTATAATGCATTACTCATTTTTAAGTATGAAAAGCAAATAGACTAAATGTCTACATAAAATATTGCAAACTGGACATATTGCATATTTTTATATACTAAGTCATAAACATAATAGACAATGTTTCTTAATTCACTAGTATTTTTAAAACTTTTAGAATGTAAATTACATTGTGCCTTGTATTTTCTTCTAAACTCATTGTAGTGTTATAGTAAAAATAGTGAAAAATGTTTCATTGATTTGTCTGCCTGGTGCATTAATACTATAGTGTTTGCATTTTCATGGACTAAAACATTATTTAAATAATCCTTTTATTAAGCCTGGCATGTAACAGGCAAAAATTCATACAGCATGCAGCCTTTCTAGCAATTAAAAGATCAAAAGACAAGAACTGAAATAATTTCTATAAAGCCACAATTTTGATTGTATAGCATACAGATATGTGGATATAGGATCCAGCTCTTTCATGGGAGATCAGCTAATCTAATGAGACAAAATAAAATAAAACTTAGTGGAAGAAGAAAATATATACCTTAATGAAAAAAGCCATTTTACAGGGTAAATATTACAGTGAAAACATTTGTTGATGGAAATTCAGTGGTACAAAAGCAGTGTCATGAAAAAACAGCTGAAAAAAACTGCTAAAGAACTTGTAATGCTCTGAATAGGCCACTGTTGCTTTTCTACAAATTGAAAAAATGGTATCTATAAAGAGATTGGAGCAAGATTCAAATTGTACCAGATCTCCATAGGTTTATAGTTTAAATATATATTTTTTCAAACTCAGACTGTAAAGGTATGAGTTGTATTAAATGGGAACAACAACAACAGTAATTTATTAAACATATGGTGCTTAATTTCTTAAAATTCTGTGTGGCTCACAGATGGCAAGTAGAACAAACTGAGTATGGCTAAAGGTTGAAATTATACAAAATTGTACATAGAAATACAGACAATAGGATGTAATAGTATACAAACTAAAGTGCCAATACTGTGATCTCGGCACAGGAAGTATTTTATAGAAAAGAAACAGGCAAAGAAAAATGGTCACCATATCAAGGGTTAATTATACAGGAAGGTAGACAACTTAAAGATGAAATCAACAACTGCAGAGAGTTTTAGTTTATAGTGCTTAAGAGGAAGATTTAATATAAATAAAAAAGTAAAGGGGAATTGAATAGCAAGATGGAGTTTGAAAATGAATTGTGTACGAATGAAGAAAATGTGATTGGAAAAATTATAAACTTGTGTTAAATTTGAAACAGAAGATAAACAAGTTAAAAACTGCATGATAAAATAAGAATTTTGGTTACAATATACAGATGGTTCAGTGGGAGACAAATGGACCAAAGGACTAAAATTCACATATTATTATAATTTAAGAGATACTTTTTATAAAATGATATACCATTGTTATATGACACCAAAAATTATGTGAGATGTATAAAGTTATGTCTGGTCCATGATGGAAATGCATGGTGGACTTGTGAAAAAGCAAAAAAAAAAAAAAAAAAGTGATACAAAGAATTTTGAAGATTAATATTAGGTGAAACCCAAACTTTTTTTTAGTGGAGCTTATGAATAGTCAGTTAGAAAAGCTTTATGGAAGACCGATTTTATATTTGGTAATTGCAGCATTGTTATTATATGCATAATGTTGAAATACCCACAACTGAGGAATGGATTGGGAAGATGGCAGAATTAGCAAAGTGGCAAACCTGACCTGTTTGGTCAGGAACAAAACAATAAGTATTTTTTATAAATGACTGAAAACTTTTTTTTGCTAAAAATAGAAAAAAAATGAAATGGTGATTTCTGGATTTGATGATTTAAAAAAGATTGAATAGGGGCTGAAGGAACTATTGTAATGTTTAAACAGGAGGAGGGATCACTGCAGAAGTACAGCTGAGAAGACTGTAACTGCTATAAGAACAATAGAAGTAGTTTATTTCATTATCTTCTTTCTTTAATTGCATTGTTTTCTGGGGTTTTTTTCTGTTTTTCTTATTTCTTTATATATTTCTATACTTGTCTTTTATCTGTGTAAAAACTCTCAATAAAATAAAAAGGAAACCATGGTCTATAAACAATTGTATGTTTGCAAAAAGAAAACCAGAATAGAATGACTGGCTGAACATTTTGCTCATTTTTTCAGAAATAGCATTATTTCAACCATTTGCTTCTTTCCTTCAATTTTCCTGGACTAGTCCATCTTGGAAATATCAAATTTTAATCAGAGGCTGCTGGAAACAGTTCCATGACATGCTTTTCCTGGCCTCATTTCCTGTAGTTTTTAAAATGAGCAAACCTCTTTTTCTGTAAAAAACGGGGTATCTACTTTTGTGTATGTGACCGAAAACACCTGTTCCTTGGAGGAAATGTATATTGTGCAATCAGCAAACAGCCTATAGAACTGTGAATGTATGTTAAGCAAGCATAATTATTATTTTACCTTTTTTCTTTCATATTTCTATTTCTAAAAGGCATAAAATAGTCAAATTTACTTTTACAGAATTTCTTTTAAAAGCTCCCCCCCCTTTTTTTTTTTGGTATACATAGCACCTTCTTGGATCCTGGAACACGTAAAGCTATGGGAGAACAGGCTGTAGCTCTTGCTAGAGCTGTAAAATACTCATCGGTGGGAACAGTGGAATTCCTTGTGGATTCAAACAAAAATTTCTATTTCTTGGAAATGAATACCAGACTGCAGGTATGTGGAATAGAAAAGATGGGAGGCGAAGGAAAGTGTTTGATTCAGCTGGGGTTAGAAATGATTTTGTAATGCTAAAAATATGCATTATTTCAGTTTGTTCTTTCAAATCTATTGTAAAAAAAACATTAAGAAAATACTTTGTCCGAGGTAGATTTCCTCTTCTAAATATATGTTTATGATAAAAAATCTGTTAAAAAATAATACTTTTTAGTTAATTTTTAATTCTTTGTACTAGAAAAATAAAATGGCTATATAGTTCTGTTTCAGTCCACATGGATTTTTATGTCAAATTTGTGTTCTCTCCCATATTTATTGAAACTGTATAAAGTAGATAATTTCTGTTCTGCCAATAAACTTGGAAGGAAGTTACCATAACTTTGGAAACATGTCCTAAAACATGTTGCATTAAAACTGCAGATGTGCAGTTAAGCTGATAGACCTCTGTTCACAATAATTCTTATTATCAAAAATCTTTGTTAAGTTTGCTTTTACTTGGAACCCCTTCCCTTCTGAATGGTGTGCTGTAGGAATGTGTGGTGATGATGTTTGTATTTGTTAACTTCCTTCTTTCTTGCTTTGCTAGCGAAGGGGTTGTTCTAACAGTTGTTTCTATTAAATGAAAGTTTATGGTTGATTGAAATAACATAGGTAGTTCTCAACTTACAGAAACAATTGGGACTGTTATGCAATGAGTTTGTAAAGGCAATCCCTGCAGTTCCAATTTCCATTGTTAACTGAATTCCATGGTCATTAGGCAAGGCAACTTTCTTCCGGTTTTCCACAATCAAAGTCAATGGGAATGCTGGCAGGAAATTGTAAGATATGTGAGTGGCTGGTGTGGTGCAAGCTCAGAGGGACTGGAGGAGAGGTCATGAATGGGGACATTTACTCCAGAGACTTGCAAACTTTCCTACCAGCATCCCCATTAACTTTCTGGGAAAGCCAGCAGGGAAGGTCACAAGTGATAATTATGTGATCATGGGCCATTGCAACCAATTGTAATTGTAAGTCAGTTGCCAAGCACTCAGATCATGTGACCATGGAAGTGTTGGGATGGCTGGAACTCAAAAGATCGTTTGTTATCACCATTTGTTCAGCATTAAGGTAACTGAAATGGTAACTGAGTAGTAGTAGTAGTAGTAGTAGTAATGGTAGTAGTAAAGTTGGAAGAGACCTTGGAGGTCATCTAGTCCAACCCCCTGCTCAGGCAGGAAACCCTATACCATTTCGGACAAATGGCTGTCCAGTCTCTTCTTAAAAACTTCCAATGTTGGAGCATTCACCACTTCTGGAGGCAGGTTATTCCACTGGTTAATTGTTCTAACTATCAGGAAGTTTCTCCTTAGCTCTAGGTTGCCTCTCTCTTTGATTAGTTTCCATCTGTTGCTTCTTGTCCTGCCTTCAGGCACTTTGGAAATAGCTTGACTCCCTCTTCTTTGTGGCAGCCCCTGAGATATTGGAACACTGCTATCATGTCTCCCCCTTGTCCTTTTCTTCATTAAACTAGACATACCCAATTCCAGCAACCGTTCCTTATATGCTTTAGCCTCCAGTCCCCTAATCATCTTTGTTGCTCTTCTCTGTACTCTTTCTAGAGTCTCAACATCTTTTTTACATCGCGGTGACCAAAACTGGATGCAGTATTCCAAGTGTGGCCTTACCAAGGCATTGTAAAGTGGTATTAACGCTTCACGTGATCTTGATTTTATCCCTCTGTTAATGCAGCCTAGCACTGTGTTGGCCTTTTTGGCAGCTGCAGCACACTGCTGGCTCATATTTAAGTGATTGTCCACTAGGACTCCAAGGTCCCTCTCACAGTTATTACTATTGAGCAAGGTACCCCCTATACCAGTGGTTCTCAACCTGTGGGTCAGGACCCCATTTGGGGTCGAACAACCATTTCACAGGGGTCGCCAAACAACGTAGTCCGCCATTTTTTTCCCCCTTTTCCTTAGCTGTGCTACTCCCTTTTATTCTATTGGCTTTTGAAAGCCAATAGAATAGATTCTCTTGAATACAGTCTAATTCTATTGGCTTTCAAAAGCCAATAGTTATTGTCCAGGCTATCTCTGCCCTGCTGAGCCCGCCAAAAGTCCCATTCTGCAAACGGTGCTGCAAGTTGTCTGCAGCGAAGGCGAGCTGTCTGGAAGTTTCCACCCCTCCCTGCTGAGCAACTACTAGAAATGTAAGTAAAAGAGTGCCAGGGATGGGAGGTGGGAGGCCGGCGGGTGCAGGGAGGGTTGCTGGCACGCGTGGGGCCCAGCGGGTGCCTTACCTCCCTTGGGCTGGGCCAGCTGGTGGCCCAGCCGGTGATTGGCCTGCGCCGTCTCTGCCGCTTGCCAGCTACGCCTTGGCCGGTGCAGGGGGCAGCACCACGCATGCGCAGCACTCCCAGGCAGGGAAAGTCCTCGACTTACGACTGGTTGGGTAGTCCTCGACTTATGACTGGTTGGGGTCGTGGCATTAAAAAGGTTGAGAACCACTGCCCTATACTATACCTGTACATTTGGTTTTTCTTGCCTAAATGTAGAACCTTGCTTTTTTCATCATTGAATTTCATTTTGTTAGATAGTGCCAGTGTTCAAGTCTGTCCAAATCTTTCTAAACAGAATGGTTGTAGTGAAAGGTTGTAGAATGAGGAATACCTGTAAGCAATGATTTAATGTAGATTGTTAGTGAATTTTATAATATTTTTGCTTGTATTGAAAAATAAGAGTGTTGGAAAGACTAACAGTCTGATGCTTACTGGTATTTCTTTTGCAATGGCAAGGGTTTATTGTTTTGTTTGCTATTTTGAGCTTAGTGTCTTTTTCACTATTTTATTGTGATCACTGAGGAGCAATGAAACCAAAAGACTTTCCAGATGGAGAAACCACTATAGTTGGAAAGAAAGATTATTTAAATGTTGTTTAGACAATTTGAAAAGATTTGTTCTTTCCAACTTTATCAGAAATATACTAACCTTTAATTAGAATGTTTGTCAAGTACATTTCTCTAATTCTTCTGTCTTGGTTGCATATTGTCTCTAATTAGTGCTTCAGTTTGAAGTTGGTGAGTAGCAATCTTACTGGCCTCATCACCAGTTTTCCCAGTTGATTTGTCACTTTTCTCCAGCCTTCAAGTTTGATGTCAGTTAGCAGACTTATATCTAGTCATTCTTTTTGTTTTCTTTCACAAGGAGCCAAATTTTAAAATCTTGATGACACCCCCCCCCCATATTTAACTCTACAATGATAACATTGCAGATGTGTTTTTGCTGACAGTCATTTTGAATGAGGTTTTCTCCTTCTCCCACTAATATCTAAGTTTGGTGTTTGGCTTTTTTTAGGGGTTTTAGCATACTGCCTTAACTATATTATTAATGGCTGTATTATAGATGGCTCTCCTTTTTAATCTCCTGTGCAAGGGCCATCTTTTAAAACAAGTTATATTTTTTAAAAAAAATACTTATTTAGGAGCAAGTTCACCTTATGGCTAAAACCTAAGTTGGGTTTCTTTTTTGCTTTTTAATTTAGTTCATTTAACTGGTCCCATTTTTTTCTTTACTGGGGGGTATTGCTGTAATGCTATGCATCAGATAACAATCCAGAAACTGACTTTTGGTAGCCTTACTATGTATGCACTATTGAACATGTTTCCATTTGGCAGATTTATACACTGCCATTTATTCTTGCAACATGTGAACAATAAGCTCATTTAAATGTCAATACTCTTGCCTTATGTTCTCCCTAAACAAAACAGATTACTTACAGTTTTCAAATTAGAATTTCTTAAAATACCAGTTTTTCATATATTCTTCACCTAGAACAGGGTTTTTCCAACCTTTTCACCCATTGTAGCACTTTTAGGATATGGCAACATCCAAGTACCACCAGTCGCCTAGCAAGGTGTCAAAAACTTGATGACCCAAAAAAGAAAAAAGTGATAAAGTACAAGTATTCCTTGACTTATAACAGTTTGCTTAGTGACTGTTCAAAGTTACAATGGCACTGAAAAAAGTGCCCCCCAAGCCACAGCCGAGCAACACACCTGCCCGCCCGCCCGGTGGCGCTCTTCCTCCTGTCCGAGGTTTTCATTGTTGTGAGCATTTCTGTTGAGGATTGGCGGTGGGGGTGGGGTGGAGGGTGTTTGATTTTTATACCCTCCATCTGCTGTGTGGTTGCAGCAGGTTTTGATCACTTTACATGACTCTGTGACCGTCATAAATATGAATCAGTTGCCAAGCATCTGAATGTAAATCAGAAGACGCTGGAGATGCTGCAACATTCCAGCTGATCAGCACTTCTTCTGGGCTCAGCAGAAGTGCCAGGATCAGTGCTGCTTTCCAGCTGATTGGTGCTTCTTCAGGGTTCAGCAGAATCACCAGGATCAGCACCGAGCTCCAGGTGGAGCCTGGCGCTGATCCTGGCTTTTCCACTGAGCCCTGACAGCCTGAAGAAGCGCCAATCAGCTGGAAAGCAGCACTGATCTTGGCGATTCCACTGAGCCCTGACAGCCCTGAAGCTCCAGCCATCTCTCACTCAGGCTTGTGCGTAGCTGCCACCGGTTCAGCTCATTCCCCTCCCCCACTACCACTTTTCTAGGATGGTCGCGTACCACCTGCCAGGTGCCAATGTACCACAGGTGATACCTGTACCACTGGTTGAAAAGCCCTGACCTAGAACAATGGAAAAGAATCTTTCATTAAATTCCATTAATTCTTAATAAACCCTCACCTCATCTTAGCCTCAATTATCTGCAGAAAACGATCAAGATAAAGATATCAAGATTGAATTCATGAGATTAAAATACTCATCTAACAAGATCAGTAGGTAAATCAAATAGAGCCAGATCAATCCACAGGAAGGACCCATTAAAAACAGAACACAAAAACAGAACAGAACACCATTTGTTTTTACCTTGTTGAATTATTAAATTCACAATTCAAGCCCCTCAGAGCATTATTAATAATCTATAATAGCCTAAATTATACTTGTACACATACACATATGCACATA